TACTATTGCAACAAGTTTTATATGGACATTAAACACTAAAATTCTTTACGTCATAATTCATAATTCCTTACGTCACTACATTTGTCTCTTAGTTATGTCTCCAAATTTTAAAATTAGTACACATCGTAACTTTTCTCTTGTGTATAATAGTACTATTGCAACAAGTTTCATATGGACATTAAACACTAAAATTCTTTACGTCATAATTCATAATTCCTTACATAATTACATTTGTCTCTTAGTTATGCCTCCAAATTTTAAAATTAGCACATTTCGTGACTTTTCTCTTGTGTATAATAGTACTATTGCAACAAGTTTCATATGGACATTAAACACTAAAATTCTTTACGTCATAATTCACAATTCCTTACGTCACTACATTTGTCTCTTAGTTATGTCTCCAAATTTTAAAACCCCGAATTTTTGTGCTGTAAGTCCACAAAGTTACCACTGACTCAGTGGATACTAGATAACGTGGCAAGTTGAATTTATTGGCGGGTTTGTGTGAGAGTTAAATATCAATTGATGGTATCTCGATTAACGTTCAATTTATTTGTTTGTCTTTTACCTGTCAGTGGCTGACAAAACTTTGGTTTTTGACATCGAGTGAGTACTTAATAACATTCACATTAGCGATATAGTATTGTGAACATAAATCATTATAACAGCTCGCCTTATATAACAGTTATTTCAAATGCTTACGGTCTACGATGAATATTTTAATAACTAACATATCAAACTGAATAAATGTAAAAATTACAAAGGTCTTATCGCTTTAATAGGTGAAAACAAATCACTACTTGGTAAGAAAGGTTTCTTAGAGGACTTCTATGAAGTGTTCGATACACTGAAGTTTTATATGTATACCACTAAATGTCATTGTTATTGCTCGCACTAGTTGCACGGTGTTGTTTTCTTTTATTATGTGTGATTGTCCAGATATTTGAAACGTTAGGATTTCCTATCTTTTACTTAGATGTTAAATAGAGTTATCGTTATTTTTATAAATTTATTTCTTAGATATGTTTTTACTCCATTATACTGAACGTCTACATATATGTATCACTTCTTGTTTTCAGACACAGTTCACTTCACACGATTTTCCAGCAAGATGACATTAAAGTATGGTCCCTGATTTCTGAGAACAAAGGAAATTGCGGGACATGCATTATATATCTGTAAAAAACACCAACTTTATTTGAACTGGTTCCCCAAAATAAAGATTGATTTATTAGTGTTTCTGAAATGACCTTCGATGTTTACATTGCTTGTAATATACCGTAGTTAATTTCAACTTCGTTCTGTAAATTAATTACTTTCTAACGTTATCCGAATGTCTGCTTCGAAACAAATAGTTTTGTTTCATGTATTCACAAACCTCAAATAATTCGAAATGTACTAAGAGAAAAATTTAAAAGCTGCTTATGTCGGAGATAAAAAGTATTTATTCAAAAAATGAAATATCCGAAGACATTTTGAATAACGTTTGATTATTACTGTTTAACGGATTTAGTAAAATGACCACTTCCATTTAATATTTAAAACTCAAATTACTGACTTGCTTACATACCGTCCACTAACGGTGGGGGTTCACATATTGCATCATATTAAGTAATTTCATGTTTTTTGCATTTTACAGCACTCGGTGTAAAGACTTGACCAATATAATTGAGTGAAACCATTCATTCGTTTTACATGGAAAATAGTAACAGTAATTAGTGGGATTAATTGAAACATTGGCAGTACTTTCGTTTCTTTTTTTTATGTGATCCATATGTTACCCAGAATTCTGTAACCAACAAAGTCATGGACTCACAAGCAATTTAGGGCATAAACAGTTTAGACAAATGTGTTTAAAAGCTGATGAGCGTCGATATGGACCCCAAGTTGGTAGTAGTTGTAGGCTTAATATATAAATTACTGTGGAATATTCCATAAGCAGTTAATTAACAGAAAAGGTATTTAAGAAAAAATCATCAACCGTTAAATTAGGATAATGTGGGTGTTGTTGTTTTCTTATTACAAAGCTATAAATGGGCTACCTGCACTCTGTACACCGCGGGGAATCGGGGCCAAAACTATAGAATGTTTTTTCACTGATAGATCTGTTTTGTGTCGTTATAATAAACACAGATCTATCCGTTTACCAATTTTCTTCTCTGTTTATTATAACGACACAAAACAGATCTATGAGAAGAAAATTGGTAAATGGTTGTTTATTATAACGACACAAAACAGATCTAT